TGGAGGAGCTTCCATCCACAGAATATTTCCTTCCACTGTCAGGCAAAGAGTGACATGCAAACTAAAATTTGAACTCGTCTACAGGATTTAAGCACAGAACATAAGTCCTGATGCTATTGCAAGGTTTGTTATCCTCAAAATTGTGTTGTTAGAGAAATCTATCCTTGGTAACCCCACTTCTCTTGGGTGCCTAAATTTTCAAAACCAGCTCCTTGCCATTGTGACTCCTACCTTTTCCAACTTCCTGCTGCTCTGCCATACTCTGTACACTCAGCTTCCAGTTCTCTCAATATTCCTACTTTTGTGCTTCAGCACTCCCACTCTAACTCTTAGGTGCTGAGGCCCTAACTTGTTCGGACTCTGCTCAAGTTTATTTGCTTGTTTTGGGGTGAAGGGTTGCCACAGACCACTCTTACCTTTAATGAGATTGGCAAAACCTCAAATTACATATCTTATTGATGGTCTTCCACTAATTTTATACGCGTATGCATACTATTATTTTTAATAACTTTAAAGCCTCTACCCATTATACTAATGTATAAAGCCAGTATCTCAGAAAAACCCCAGACCTCAAAAGATGGCTGGAAAGTAAGTAAGAATTCTAAATTTAAATTAAGATTATGATCTGTGGATTAGTATTTGCTTATTTGGATTTTTCATATTTACTCCAGTGGCTTTGGGAATACTGGTAGTACTTGCAAAAATCTTGTTAGACTTTAATCTATACGGCAGATTTACCAAGTCAATATATGACTGCAATTTCCATTATGTCCTCAATTTGTGTTACAGGGAGAGCATGCATCATTTTATATTTCTAAAATATTCCATTTGTAATTTTTAAATAAGATTACTATAAAATGACTAGTATTCTGTTTTATTCATTTGCTTTTCTGAGAAGCCAGGTCCTAAATTAAAGTAAGTTAACCTCAAACAAGAGAAAAGTATATACAATACTGGTGCTTGCATCTTAATATTAAAGCAGGCTGTTGTTCTTCATTCATCAACATTTTGTTGCTTTAAAAAAAACCTTCCTGTTCTCAGTATCTATACACAGTAAGCAGTCCTTAAATATGTTTCAAATAAAAGATGCTACTGACCTTACAGGAGCAGAATACAAACTTTTTCCATTATTCCCAGTGAAGTGGACAATTTGCTCTGAATGTTCATGGTTTTAAGTCTTCCCTAGGACAAAAAGTACTTGCAAGAACGTTTACTCAAGTTAATTAGTCTTTGAGATTTTGAACACAGAAAAGTTAAAGTATATTTTAGTCATTAGGAAGTTTCTAAAAAGAAAGAATACTTAAAACCAAAGTTACAAATTTCAATCTAAATAGACTTTAATTTGTGCACTTGTGATAATTTATGACTGCAAAACACTTGTTTTCTTAGAATGACATAGTGAAAGGCACATTTCATTTGAATGCATAGTGTACCATTCTAAAATATCCTAATTTCTTTACAAAGTGCTTGAGCAGTCACATACACATACAGTAATAGCAAAATATATTTACACTCTATAAAGCTTAAAATTTTAAATCTGACTAAAATATATATATTTTTTAAACTACAAAAAATTAGTGCTTTCTTCAGCTTAATTGTGTAAATAGACCCTGCCCTCTTATTTTTTTAGTGATTGACTTCAATTAAAAAAAAATTCTGTACACTGTGTAGTTACAAAATGCTATGTCAGTTTTTAATGCTAAAAGCCTGTTTTAGACATTACTTTCTTTGCTATTTGAGAACCAAAAAAGTGAGCAGACTGTACCTCAAAAGTATTTAGTGTTTTATTTTAATGTTGTATTAACACTGTTTAAATTAAAGCCAGACAATTAAGCTAAGTTCCTCTACTGTCCTTTGCCAAGGAAGTTAACTGGCATTTAACAATAACTTTAAACCACATATTGTTCCCCCTTTCTATTAAGATTTTCTCCCAAAGAATCTTGGGTAATTAACAATTTGGAAGGTAATATAAATGATCTCTGGACAATTTTAATTGTTCTCAGAGTACAATGAAAAGATGCTAACACATCCCAGCAAATATTTATAAATGTTTTTAGCTCAACTCTCCATAAATCAGTGTGCTTCTTCATGTTTCTCATAAGATTTACACCTGAACAATTTTTAAGAGATGAGCTCACTGTGATTAAATAGTTAATTCAGTATGGTTACTTAACAGCTTGCTATTCCTGAGGTATAATGACCCTAACATGCTAAGCACAGGATCAAAGATGCTATTACTAAACTAAGAAAAAACAATAAAGTCATAGATTAGGAGAAAAAAATATAAAATCAAACCAAACCAAAACAAACAAAAAACTACAGGCAAATGGAAAGTAATGGTTTGCAAAAAGACAATCCTAGAAGAGTATAAAAAGCCACAGACGGATCCTTTGAAGAGTTGTATAAAATATTTGATCAAATTATTTTTGAGACTTTTGAGGTACAGCTTTAGTGTTATAATTAATTTTTTTATAAAATATAGACTGTTTTATCAAAAATATTTATACATTCTGTTACAATATATTGCTTTTGCCCTCAGTAACTGCCAATATAAAATCTGGATCCAGTGGCCTAAAATATACAAATGCACTTAATGTAAATGCTGGAGTTTGAGGTGTCTGCTTGGCCACTGTACAAAAGTGATGAAGTGGTAAAATTAAATAATAAGCCTACAACATAGAATACATTAAAACTTGCACATATACATGTTCACAGCATGTATACAATGATAATCTCTACGGTTTAACCAAGGTATAGTTCCCTTCTACAGCAGACACAAAACCAAGGTGAACTAGGTTGGCAGATGTAGAGTGAGTATCAAAAAAGGGGTAATCGGTTCACTGATTCTGGAAGATATGACTGAACATACTGAGCATCTAGACTTTGGGAATGCATACAGGTAAGAATATCTTGGTTCAGCTGATTAAAAGTCCTCATTCTTAACATCTTAAGTAAATGCTGATCTTGTTTGTTTCAGCACTGTTTAATAAAAACAAAATTGTTTGGCAAGCAGCTCCGTTGGAAAGCTATAAGCCTCTGTTACATGGTTGATAAAAATAAGGCAATATAAAGTTTTCTCCTAATAAATATAGAACATTTATAAAATAAGACATCAATTCATTCTGTTTTTTTAAAAGATCAAGCCCCAAATTGTATACAAACTGCTACGTTTTTTGATATTACAGTAATGTCTTTAAAAAAAAGAGCATTTGTCTTATTCAAACAGAATCATATTTTGTGTGAACAGTAATAGCATTCCAAGCCCTTTTTTACTTTTTGTAAAACATAGTTAAGTGATTAATTTTCCTTCCACTTAAGGCGGGCATATGGCAAAGCTAGGGACTATAAAAAAAAGTGGTTTTTTTTTTCTTTCTTTTTAAAAATAGACTATTGATCCAAAAGTATTTGTGATGGATTTTCATAGCCGATGTTCACTCAAACTCCATGAAACTGTTTCCAGTGCTCATATTTACGCTGAAGTACAATGAGAAGCCACTTTTCAAGAAGTATTAGAATGGTACTTTTCAACAAATCTTCACGTGTTTCAATTAAAAAAAAAAACAAAAAACTCAGAAGCTATTGGTGGCACAGAGAGCAAATGAAGGGTTGCTATTTTTAAGAGGTCTTCTTGTGAGTCAGTCAGCTTGATTTCGCAGTGTCTAGCAACTTAACACCAATCAGCAATGTAGTCAAAATCTCTGAACATTTCCTGCTCCTCTTCCGAAAGTATCCTAGGTTCTCGAGGTGGAGTCAGAATAGGTGCTTCTGAGGTAAATTCATCATCAAAATTACTAACATCTTCTCGTCCTCTTATGGTAGGTATAAATGGTGGCTTTACTTTTTTGTCCATCAGAGCGCTCCAATCAATTAGCTGGATCATAAAATACAAAATGACTAGTTTAGTTTGTTACATCTAATTGCTCTAGTTTAATAAAAAATTTTAAATAGTCACACTTACCCGGAAAAATGGGTGCTTTTTTACATCCTCTGCATCTTTCTCGCTAGCCCCAAGGCGCCGCTCAGGATTTCTTCTTAACAGCTAGCACAATGTAAAATAAAAAAGTTAAAATAAAATCAACAGAATAAAATTCACTGATAAAGATTATTTTTAAAAACTCAGATATATTTTGTCTGTTTTTGTCTAAGCCATGCAACATTTATGAACTGAAAAACAACTTCTAAAGTTCTACTGGGAAATTGTCTTTAATATAAAAAATTAAAGTAGTCTTAAAAAAATTCTTATCCTTAATTTAATTCTTACCCTTCTCATTATAGAAATGGCTTCTGTAGATAAGAACCTTGGATACCTTACTTCATCATTTACAATACTGTCAAAAACTTCCTCTTCATCATCACCAGGAAAGGGAGACTAGAAGAAATACCTTTAAGTAAGTTAAAGCAAGTTTTAAGGCAGTAAAATCTTATCACCTATTCAAAGTATAACCAAGATCCAGGCAGTGAAAAAGAAAAAAACAAACAAACAACAAACCCATGCCTACCAAAACAACAACAACAACAAAAGAACTATAAGAAGTGACAATAGATATGTATCTATTACAGAGGGAATATACCATATACTCTTTCTGAAATCTTTAAATTTTATAGACCGTTAAAAAAACTTGTCTATCTCATATATGATATGGCTTTTCATTTCATTTCATTCCACTCCAGTCCATTTTATTTCATTCACTCAATCACCTATTTGGCCAGACAGTCAATTTTTAGAGTGTCTAACAGAAAGTAGGGAATATTTAGATAACAGAATCCTGAAGAACCTCAATCTTGTGGAAAGACAGAAGAAAATGGATAAGGTTAATATGGTAATAAATGTTATAGTAAAGGAAAGCAATCTGCGGAAATACATCAGATATAAATGTGCTTTGGATTTTAAAGTCAATAGTAAATTAATGGTGGTAAAACGCAATTAGAGATTAGTAGGCATAACGACCGTACTAAGCAGCTGCCAACAAAATTAGACTGAAAGGAACCCAAAAAGCACACATTGACAGGCATTTTTAATGCTCTAAACACAAAAAATTTTAGGGCATTTCAATAAGCACAGTATTAAAATCATTTTTCATAATGACCCTGAGACATAAAAAAGTAGTTACATTATATTCAGTATGACAATTTGATTCACAAAGAGATAAACTTTCAACTATGCTGAAAACGTGTCTATCAGATGTGATTGCCTGCCTCAGAATTTCAGATGGCTTAAACATCACTCATTTTAAAAATCAGGACACGAATGTCTAAATATCATTTAATTCCTTAAAATCACTGAAATGAATCAGTATCTTTAACCTTATTTTCTCACTGGCTATTGAAATATAGGCTTACTTAGCCTCGTTAGATTTGATTTGGCTGCTTGCTTCCAATTAAGTTTTAAAGAATAATAAGCAGAAAGCAATATCCAGGGAAAGTGAGCAATCTTTAAGGAATCTGTGAAAATAAATTCAGAATCCAGCTTCTTAAGGCTGAGCTTCTAATCTTGCTCATAGCTAAGAAAATTTCAAAGCTTTCAGTTACCAAAACCTTAGTTTGTTCATTCACTCACTCAAAATACATAAATCAAATATACTACATGGGACAATGTAGTGCACTCAAAATACATAAATCAAATGTACTACATGGACAATCTAATTTCTTTTGGGGACTGAATCAGTAAGTCAGGAGAAAATTTTATTTTACTAAGATTCTCAATGGGAATTTCAATGGATAATACAAAGAGAGCACTTTTGTCTTCTGCTTGAACAATTTTTACTTGAAAACTCACTCTCCAAGTCTGAATAGCAAAGAAGTATCTATACATTTGTTAAAACGTGTAGTATCTTTTTTCTCAAATAGATTGTAAGCAAACAGGGCTAACAACAGAAAGCTAACAAATGTGTTTTAAGCACATTTAAAAGAAACCAATAGTCTGTTCAGATATCAACACTGATAGTATCTAAAACCATGTCCAGCATTACATTCAATCTCTCCGTTATCTTCACTCCCATCTGAGGCAGGAAAAAGGGGACTTGGGATATTTGTTTATTCCTGGAGTCTTTCCAGTAATCAAAACTAGTAGAAGTATACAAATTTGAGCATGTATGATATATCCAGCGAGTTTACAATTATTTGTAATAATAGAGAAATCTGACATAAACTTTAGCCACACCTTACGTTCATCATAGTTAAAAAGGAGTTACCACCAGCGTTTCATTAATGCTATAAAATTATGAAGTAGACTGATGAGTTTTAAGTTTAGTTCTTTTCCCAGCTACCCTCTTGTGGAGATACTAAAAAGAAATTGCAAGAAACAACTAAGAAATAGCCAGATCCACTGTCTTTTATCTTCTAGGTAATTAAGAGCTCAATCAATTAGCTCTCTTAAAAAATATGAAACAGGAGCTTCCTTGTTTTCTGTCAAACCCTCCAGTGGCTTTATAATGGGAGAGAGTAGATTCAACTGGCGATTAATTCTACAGTATTTTGTAATAAACTCATATTTTCCATATGTCATCTCTAATATGGAGAGTAAATTTTAAGCAAGCACATAATTGAATCTCATAAACTTCATACTTACTTGAATATTACACTAAACAAAACCAAAAAAAAAACCAAAACCCCAAAATGTTACTTTTAAAATAAAGGAAGGGGGTGGGGAGAAGTTCAAGTATGCCAGAGCTTACAGAAGATTAACTATTTTATGAGAACTTCTGGCACTCTCAGACAGTAAAAGCCACTGTGGACTGGAGCTAAACTAAATCTTTCCAACCTAAACACTGCACAACAGCTTTTCTAAATAGAGGTGAAAAATTCAGATCTGGACCACTAGTCTTAAGAACAGAAACAAGGCTGGATGAATTGAAGATCCTATCCTGGAGCAGCAAAGCATAATGCTTTAGAGATATGTTCTGGAGCCAGAGCGACAAGGTTAAAATTTCCAGCTCCACCATATGAGAGCTGTGTGACCTTAAGCAAGTCATTAATCTCTTTGTGTCTCTATTTACACCTCTGAAAATGGGCATAAGATCAGTACGGAGCTTATCAAAGGGTGTTGCAAAATTAAATGAGTGAATATTTAAGGCACACAGAACAGTGCTTAGCTTAGGACATGATAAATTTTATTTTAATTAGCCATACTTCTCCTCCTTTTCCAAAGAATCCACTTCAAACTGACACACCAAAAGGGGCTATCCATCCGGAGAAACTAAAACCATTTGTTTGTTTGGGGTAAGTGCCAATAAATGACAAGCATAGAACAAAACTTTAGAAATTTCTGATACTCAATTTGATAATTCATTCATTTAGCCACTAACTTCTTCAAACTTGTAAGTGTACAAGGGAGGTTGCTGGCATGGGGAAACTGCAGAATAATGAACCAATCCCTTAAAATAATTTTTCTTGCATCTCCAGTTTAAGTCCCTTCAAGTAATCTTTAATTACTTATTAAAAGATTTACTCTTTCCCAATTTCACCCCAATTCAACATTTCTAACAGTTTATAATATAATACATTATTAGTCTCCTATTATTGCCTTATTTAACATAATTCACTGTTTCCTAATGGTAATAATTTCTGTGTACAACTCAATTATCCTCAGAAATTTAAGTTAATCGACAGAAAACAGTAGGAAAAAATGCTAATCTTTTCAACTCTACCATTTTTGAAAGTAACATTTCTTTCATTTTTTAAAATTATATTTTATTTAACAATCTAGGAAGTTCACAGCCAACAGCAGTTCTATTGCAACTTCAGGTGCAACTGGGAATTCAGGAATCTCGGTGGAGCTGTTAGTGTAGCGAACCTTGTACATAAAATACATGCATATTTTTGATAGCACATGTGAAGGTATCTCTCTAAAATTGACCTCATTGGTTTCATTCTCAGCAAACTGACCTGGGCCACTCAACATGGCTTTTATCATGCCTGATGTTAATGTACGTCCTGTTTTTACAACAAATTCATGGCCATCGGATGATATCAATCTGACATACATGGCATCAGGGCCTTCACAGCCACCATAGCTTTTCTCCTCTCCATTCATTTTGTTCCTATGAAATTCTACTTTGCTTCCCCAGGAACTTCAGCTGTTTCCTGGTGAAGCAAGGATGCAGTGTGTGTTGCTCACTTCCGTCTAGAGGAAGTCGAAGGTAACATTTATTTCTGACCAATCTATAGTGGGCTTTTCTTTACACGTACAGAGTACATTTTTTAAATTAGTCTTTCTGTTATTCCATTCCCTATAAAATGACTATGTCTTAAAATCAGAAAACACATTCAAAGCAGAACACTGAAATATAAGGAACTATTTTCAAAGTACTGATAATGCATTCCGCAAACCACATAAAAATCTTTATTGAAGGTATTACAGAAAGATAGCTGACTACTAGTATACTATAAATATTTATAAAACTTAAATTCCACTCATACTGAAGACAGTATTAGGTGGTTTTATAAATGACATGCTTTATTATTTCAATCATCCTTCCTCTTTTCTCTTACCTATTTTACACTGCTTACCTCACCAACAAGCATTTCATATATAAGTACGCCAAGGCCCCACCAATCTACAGCCCTTGTATAAGAAGTTTCTGTTAATACTTCTGGGGCAAGAAATTCAGGAGTGCCACAAAATGTGCTTGTTCTATCTCCATATCCCATTCCTGGAAAAGATAAAATTTAAACATTTGTTAGCAAAGAAAATAAATCTAGTATATAAAAAAAAATCAAAGCTATCTTTGGGAGGCAAAATTAAAGTTGCACATTTGTGCATGGCGAACAAATTCAGACATATTTAAGATATTTCAAGAAAACAATAAGGACTGGTACAGCAAAAACTGTAATAGCAACTATACTATCTAATTAATGGGTAAATAGAAATAAGATATCCATGTTTCTTTTCAGTTAATTTTTCTTCTTGTCATTACAAGGGAGCTAAGAAATTACAACAAAATGAACTGATTGTGAAGTTCTATCATCTTTCCAATTCAATCTTAAATAAGTTTATTTACTTTACTATAAGAACAACATTATAAAAAAATAACAGTTTGGAAAATACCAAAAATCAAACCCTTGGATAATCAGGAGCTAACCAAATGTGTCATATAATACAGAGAGATAGGGCTGTGAGCAAGATATGTCATCTATGCTAAACCTATGCCAAATATTCCAAAATCTCACAATA